AGCCCCCCAGCAGCCCCTTGCAGGCTGGAACTCTGCCAGCCTGCAAGGGAAAAGCCATGGTTTCACATGTTTTCCTTCTTTAAAGGAGAATCCATTTTTAAAAAGTTTGTTTGTGACCCTTTCATGTATTCTTGTGACCCCCTTTTGGGTCATGACCCACAGGCTGAAAAATGCTGGGCTACAGGGCATTCCCAAACTACTGAAGTATCTGTCCAGCCCTCACTGAAATATTAAATAGAGCAAAAACTGAGGCCCAGCTCTGCTCTTTCATGGCTACATTGCTTCTAGTACTTGAAGTAGATCATGTGTCTACCCTGCTGCACTGTGCCGTAAAGACATACCCTAAGCCTAGTCCAGCTCTGACTTCTCAGTTCAGAAAACTGAAGGATAGGAGAAGTTAGGAATGAAAAAGCCCTATCACCTCCCTTCCATTTCAAGATCCTGCCTAATACCTTGCAGGCTCAGTGTGGCAGGGCGTGACCTAGGGGTGCCATGAACTCCCCTAGCGCCCACTGGCTACTGTGTCAAGCCGGTGTCAACGCACCCTCAATCTCACCTGCCACATCTTTGATGTTTTCAATGCTTAGGGGAGGCTGCCTTTTCTATCTGCTTTGACACAGTGCCTTGATGTAACTTAGCTAATGCCCTGTCTAGTTGCCCCAGTGCATTCTAGCCTTAGGGGCTACATGTAAGTCCTACCGTCGCCCGCACTGGGGCCTCTTGCTCCACAATCCTGCACCCACACTGGGGCCTCTTGCTCCACAATCCCATGATCAGGGCTCAGGTGGCCTTAGCCATGCCTGGCCCCCAGACCCCTTTCTTGGGTCCTACACCCCACTGGGGGTCCCACAATTGGGGCTCAGGCAGCTTCAGCCTTACCTGGGCCCTGGACCCCCTTTCCAGGTCCTGCACCCCACTGGGGCTTTCCACAATAGGGCTCAGGCAGCCTCAGCCTTACCTGACCCTCAGACCCCTTTTCTGGGTCCTACACCCCACTAGGGCTTTCTTGCCTGCACCCACACTGCACTCCTCCCAATACTGCCCACACTGGGCCAGGGTCAGGACACCCCCAAAACACAGCACCCTCTCCAGCACCAGGAACCCCCCCACTACTGGGGAGCTCCCCTGAGGCCTCCTCCAAACCCTACAGCCTCACCCAGCCCTCCAGTGTTATACAATAACAAGACAGAAAACACAAAGCCCCCTGGGCTATAACATAAATCCCACCCCCAACCTGGCTATCTTCCATACATATCCCCATCAGGGTTTTCTCCACCCAGTATCATCATCACCGCAAACTCAGGCCATCAGGCTTTTCTGCCATGCCTGCCCAGCTTGCTCTAACAGAGCTCCACCTTCCTTGGCTGCCAGAGGAGAACTACCACCCTAGCCTCCTGCCTGGGTTTTAAGGAGGGCTAAGCCCTGCCCCTTCCTGTCAGGGGGTTTCACTGGTTGCCCTGGCAGCCAGCACCTGTGCTGCCCTGGTGACTGGTGGCTGTGCCTCCCCCTTCTCACTGCTAGGGGCTCTCTGGAGCCATCCCTGTCCTCAGGCACAGGGCACCTAAGTGCTCTGCGACACTCAGGTACTGTAACAGATAACGCAGAGACCAACCCTGAGTTGCCTTAGAGACCACCCCAAGTTTGTATTAAATGTTTTCTACTATTATACTAGGCCATGCACAACTCCCACCAAGTGGGAGTGCAAATACAGACAGGCTGCCGGTGTTTAACTGTTGCATTGTCTAACTAGGTCAGAACAAATCTAGACAACTTAGAACTAAAAATACCATCAACCACCAGTACTTCATCCACACTAAAAATCCTGCTCTTGCCACTTCCAAAAGATCCATGAGTGGGGAACTCAAAGCAAAGACTCAGCATAAAGAAAGTCATGGAGCAAAGGAGTTTTCACAACCAAAGCATCAGTCTGTAGCCAGTACCAATGTGTCTCTGGCTGTTTTGCAGCTGAGCAGGCAAATGAATGAAGGAGGTAATTGTCATGCTGGTGGCTTATTCAGCACTCCTCTGAGGAACCGTGTGCAAAAGAACTATACTTGCTTGCCCACCAGATGCTACATTAAAGTGTGTATAAAATACCATTTAATTAAAATGGACCAATGGTTACAACAGAAGAGACTCATCAACTAGCTGGATGAAGAGCCAATGAAGGAAAGTATGATCTATGATCATTTGTATTGAAGAGGGTTGGACTGGAAAGCTTGGAAATGGGAAAGACGTTCATAATTTTGATCCTAATGCTACCACTTCTTTATTGCGTGGCTTGGGAGAAGAGTTACTGAAGCCATAATGTTCAAAGCCAGTTGCCTGATTCATGAAAGCACCTTCATGAAAGTGACCTGGTTTTAGAAGAGGTGGTGAACACCCACAGGCTCCCATCCTCACCCTATGGAAGTCAACACAACTGCAGTTGCTCAACAGCTCTGAAGATTAAGCCATTTTCATCCAGATGCCTAATTTAAGCCTTCTGGACTTGAAAAATGTCACTTCCCTGTTCCAGGTTTCCCATCTTTCAAATGGGGATCATCAAATTTGCCTACCTCATAGGGAATTGTGTGTGGCTTCCTTAGTAAAGGGTTACATCACACAGTGGAGGAAGGTTTCCCAGAGTTGTGGGCATTGTGTTTGCAGTGGTATTGTTTAATACAATACCGTGTCCTGTTCAGCCTCTGGGATTACAGCCAAGATTTTCAAGAGTTGATGTCCAGTTATGCATTACAGGTGAGGACAGTAATAGGCTCTGGACAACTGGTGGGGCTGGGTGTTCAACTGGAGGTACTTCTAAGAGGCCCAATTTTCAGAGAGTGAATGCTCAGCAGCTTTCTGGACATCAGGCTCCTTCGAGGAGTCTTTGACTGGGCACTTAAAACTAAGACCAGAGAAGTCACTGGGCACATCTGAAATGTGTTGCCTGCCCAGGATTCTAGAAAAGAAACAAGAAAGAAAATTGGCTTCTAGAGGATTATGAAAAGCTCTTAGACTTGGGGCTGCATTAAAGTGTAAACTAAACTGACTTGTCTAAAAAAATGCAAGTTACTTATCCCACACCACTCCTCCAAGCTGTGAGAAATGCCCCACAACTCCTATTCTAGAGACAATACACTAAGCCCCAGCAGCCAACTGAGCACAGCAAGGAACTGAGGCCTGGTCTCCTGAGCTGCTCTTCACAAAATGCACTGGTGCTGTCTAGAGCAGCAGTTTTGTCCCAGTGAGCCAAATGAGCCGTGTGGGGCTGGTTTGCAGGACCAATAGGGCCCCACGCTGCTTTGCATACCCCATTCAGTATGGAGAGCCACACTATCTGGCTTGCAGGACTCCCCATGGGGCTGGAAATTTGGCAGCAGTCAAGTGGTGCTACTGCTCCCCCACCACCAAATTTGCAGCCTCACATGGCACCAGGGGTTGGATCTGGCCCACGGGCAGAGCACCCCGGTTTAGAGAATAAAGCGTCAGGAACTGGAGGGAGCTCATAGACGCAGCACGGAAGCCAAGCGGGGCGCTGGGCAGCCAGGCCACCGTGCTTCACACCTCGTGTCTGACACGGCAAGGGCGACGCAAGCTCTGACTCTCCCGCCGCTGCTCCCGGGGGCTTACAGAAGAAGCCTGGTCTCCTGGCCCGGCACGCAGCGCCGGGCTCCGGGGCGTGGCTGGGCGGCGCCCCAGGAAGGGGCGGGCCTCTGCCCGGCCTGCGGCTCCCGCCGGGATAAATAGGCGGCGGCGGCAAGGCCTTAGCGAGTTGTTTGCGCCTGCTCGTCGGGAGCTATGGACCGGCCGGGCTGCCCCTGCGCTGCCGGTGAGCGGCGCCTTGGCGCGGGGTTGCTGGGGGGCTGTGATCCGCTCTGCGCCCGCTCGCGCACCCCGGCCTCTCGGTGCCGGGGCCTGCCCCCAGGCTGCAGGGGCAGGTGTCCGGGGGTGCCGTCTGCCTGCCAGCCCTGGCTGCTTTCGTGAGACTCCTGGCCCTTCCCTTTGCTTCATTTTAGGTGGCACTTGTACCTGTGGTGACAGCTGCAAATGCAAGAACTGCAAATGCACCTCATGCAAAAAAGGTGAGTCTCAGCATCCCAGCTGGAGCATAGCAGGTCATAACTCTCTTGCCTTTCTGCAGGTATAATGGGCAGTTCAGGCTTGGATTTTTCTCAGGATCCAAGTGTATTCACCCAGATCAGTCCCTCTGCTTCACTGGTGTTTCACCAGAGATGAATTGGTCCCTGGTACCTTCCCTGCTGCCAACCCCCTTTCTCTCTTTTCCCCCCCC